TATTTTTACAATTAAAAGAGATAATTAAAACTAAATATTAAGTTAGTAGAAGGTAACAGTAGCAAATATATATATATATATATTGTTACATTTTTACCTTGCAATTTGTTTAGACAAAGTTGTTACAACAATTAAAAAATTATTAGTTCGGTTTAGTAGCTTCGGTGTCGTAGAATTTCCAAGAAATTTTACCGAAATAACTTGTTCTGTTTTTGATCAAAATTTAGGAGTATCATTGACCATTAATGTACAGCTATTAAAAGCGGTAGATTGCACAGAATACTTCAGTCGAGTCAATTTTACCTCAACTCGATTCACTTATAGCCGCTCTCTTTCACTCTCTTGTCCCCGTTTCTCGTTCTCATTCTCTCGCAATTTACATAGATATCTACATATCAGTCCTTTCGTGACGTTTACCCATTCGCACATAATTCTACTTGCCGCGTGTGTGTCTGATCTGCCGCTAGACACTTTTTAAACATCTACGTCGTCCTCTAAAGCTGCCACTGTGGTAAAACTACCACGCTAGAATCGCTGTTTTTAAACGCTATGCTTTTTTTAGGCCCTGTGTACAGCGCGTAAATCTTCGTCGTGATCAAATTTTCCTTACATTTGTCATTTTAGGATTGTCGGATTCAACATTGCGCGTTCACACGAACAAACAATATCGATTGATTATTTTACTGGTCGAAACATGTATCTCGTGTCTCCTATATTCTACGGCAAACATTCGCGAATAGCTGAACATTGCTGAGAAAAACATTGTTGAAACGTTTCGATGTGAAAAATTGAGAGTTTCTTCATCGAATATCGATTGACGAGTTTTTCTTTGCATCGAAGAAGAAATCGATCAAGGTTCATTTACACGATTCCGACTCAATACTGAAAATCAAATTATTATTTCATGCATTTTAAGCAAAACATTATATTTTTTAATATTTTCTTTTTTGTACATAAATGATAAAATTAATTTAATAAACTTAATTTGGCAAATAATAAATTTACATTTGCTTATTTTTTTATTATTTTAGTATCTTTACAGAATTTAACTTTATTATTTAAATGTCTTATTTTGGTATCTTTTTTTCTTTTTTGGTTTTTTTTACAATGTTTCCGAATCTAACGTGATTCGGATACGCGAAAATGAACCTTTAGGTGTGTTTTAGTTTCTTTCCTTACGCATTACGACCAATCGAAAGCTACTTGAACGGAAGCCCGATATAAGACATGTCTAATTATCTCGACGACGATAATTAATAATGTATACATAGAAAAATAAAATTGCGTTGTCGACGCATCGAGAAGGAACACTTGTGTCAAAAATAATGAAAACTCGCCACACTCGCTTTATCAAGTTCGTATACCAAGTATATAATTTGCATTTTGGCTTGACAATAGAGATAGTTTTAGATTAATCACTCGAAATCGGATTCATTATTATGCCAATTATAGATACACAAATTAAGAATATGCACATTCTTATGAATTCACTAAAGTTGATACTAGTTAAGAAACAATTTAGAAATTAAATATTCAAGTGAAATACTTGATCAACTGTACGTCACAATTTTATTCACGTAAACTAATTGTTCGTGACCGGCTACAAGCTAACATCGTTATTTTTATGTAGAGTAGATTTAATGTTTTTAAACACAAGAGATGAATTTCTAGATTAGGAATTTTCAGTTTTATCTGAATATTTTCATTTTGAATTTTCTATTTCTTCTTTTCTTTCTTTTTTATTTTATAGCTTATTGCTGTTTGTGATTATACGTATGATTTTATATTTGCGTAGGAAAAAAGCCGATGAACACGTCGAATAAGTCGATTAAAAGCTGTTCCGTATAATCGATGTTCCGGAATAAAAGTGTGCATACGGCGATATTATTGATGTCTTTAATTGCCTCTCTGCAACAATTTTTTTTTTTTAATTTTTTTTATTTATTTTTTTTTTTTTTGACATCTCCGCAGCAACGACGCGCGCAGTTTAGTTCGATATCGGTATATCCATGTATCCGGAACAGCCATGTCCAGTGATAATGGCAATCACTATTATCGCGACGACACGTAACAGATAGGATTGATCGGAAATTCGAACTGTTCGTTGAGTTGCTCGCAGAAGTGGCTCGAATGAACTCCGATTCGCAAGAATATACACGTAATGTTTCTTTAATATTTTGATAGCGGATTTATTTTCAAATCTTTGAATTACAATATTGTGCGAAGCAAAAAATTTTTTCGAAATTTGGACTTTTAATTTTTTTTTTTATTTGTAGGATTTTTTGTGCAAATGTTTGATTGAAAGCGAAGAAAAAGATTTATAACACGTGTCTTTCCCAATCTTAGATTTGTTGGATTTTCTTTCAAGAGAATACCTACAAGAAGATATTTCAAAGAGAAGAATAGTAGAATTATTATTTATTTAACAATCACTCTAGTAAAAAAAGTGGAAAACATTTCTTGCGAATCCGAGTAAATATTTTAATCATCGCTGTTATTTGAATTCCGCGTACTGTGATAATTTTATGATCATTGAGTTTTTCTTGAAATTTAGCAAACTTGTTTGCGAGTGGCAAGGCATTCGAATAGTGGATTTAAAACGTTCGTGATAAAGATATCGTAGAGTGGAGCGACTTGAACGCTCGTTTCCGGCGAGTGTCATTAGGGGAACGTAAAAAAGATTACTTGTCAGAAATTGTAGGGTTGCACTGGAAAGCCGTGCCTGCCAGGGAATTACGCTAATTAGTGTCTTTACTCGGACGGTCCGCGTAACTGCGCGCGTTAGCATAGTCTCTCTCTCTCTCCCTCTCTCTCTCCCCCGCCTCTCTCTTTCTCTCAATGTGTGTATGCGTGTGTATATCTTTCATTCACTCTCTCATTTATATACCCATTTTCTCGTTTTTGAATAATTATCCACAAGCAAGTGAAGGCGGTCGATTAAATAGACCGCCGCATTGATGCAGTAAAGATATTCCGTATCATGTTAATATTGCTGATGTATGTCAGTATTACGTCAATGATATTGATGTATGTTGGTGTCTTATTAAAAAGCCATCGCGAATCAAATTATAATAAAATCAAGGTACATTTTAAACCAAACAAATGCTATTTCGTTCATTGAAAGTATTATTTGTAATACAATTAATTTTTAATTCGTTGTAGCCTGATCTTGTAATCATTGAACCTTTTTCTTTAATTCTGTAAGATTGTAAGATAATTTTAATAAAACAAATGATAAAGAGAGAGAGATGACAACTTTCAAGACTAGACTTACATCAATGTTACATCAATTGTTACTATAATTATCGCGAGCAATGTTTTTTTAGAATACTGATTAACAGAATACAGAATATCTCTACAAGTACATATATATTCGAGGATGACATAAGTAAATGGACACCTCATATTGCTCATATTTATATTTTTATTTTTTTAAATAGTTAGCAGATGAAATATTATATTAATATTGATGTAATTAATAATATTTGATAGAGTCTTTCGATCTCAAATCAAATTTTGATTTTATTATTTGAAGAAATAGAAATATATACTTGAGCTATGAGGTAACTTTTCACTCTTTCGTTTCATTATAGTGTATTCGTAGCTCGAGTTTCTATCGTGTACACGCAAGCAACACGTAAAATACGCAAAACTCGACGTCAATATGTATATGTTATATTTATTATACTTACAAAAACAACGAGCACCAACGCGCTTTGATATTTACAGTCCGCCTCTGCTCAAGTTATTGCTATATAGTACATTTATACAGGCAAAATGGCGCGCGCGGTGGACGTCTTTTTTATCTTTCTGCGCGATGCTGATCGCGCGGCGTTTATTGTTTCGCGATTATACAATGCTACGTACGGTCTCGCCGCGTTAATAAGTGTCGCGCATTACATATGGTACAGCTCTGCACGTGTGCCGGCGCGCTAATAATTACATCTAATTAGCGCTAGCCGGGCGCCTCGACACATATTTACAGGATAAACATAGATTAGCAAATCTCCCCTTCCGTCCCTCTAATGTTCCACGTAACTTCCGGCGTCGCCTTCTTCGCGCACTTTTTTTTGAAAAGAATATGATAAGAAATAATACGATGTTCATTGATTTTAAAATAATTCACTCTTATACAAATTAATATTTTTATCTTTGATGGAAAAAAAATTATTACATCTAAAGATTCAAAATTGTTTGACTTTTCGCGAACAATTGTAAATTAATATCTGTTGTAAATTTTTCAAAACTTCTTGCAAAGTCTTTCGTCAGTTATACGATACCTGAAAAATCCCTTCTGTCACCGATTCCGCTGAAAGAAGATTCCAACCTCAAAATCGTCAAACGATCGAGGCATGACGGTGGTAATCGTTCGGTAATAACGCCGATTATACTCGCTAATGCCTGTTATAATGGCTTCGCTCTACGGGAGCATTAATTTCGATCTCGAATCTCAGCGAAAGCGTTTGTCGCGCGCCTCCCCTGGCGATATGATAGCGCGGATTACATTACCTGATGTATTTTGGGATGCGATTACGCGCAGGAGGCAATTACGCGCCGCCAATCGTTGCTCTAAAAACGACGAACGTGGTGACGTTTAATAGGAATTTACACTTTGACGATCGCAAATTCGCGATTAACCCTTTACTTATCAATTGAAATCCCAGATTATTTAGTACTATTATAATTTTAAATATATTGCGGACGCAATGTTTATATAATTAATATTTTAATACTAATTCATAAAACTTTATTAAAATTCCACTATATTACACACACAACGTACGTAAAGGGTTGAAAAAAACACGATAAAACATTTACACATTTAGTGAAGAGATTTAAAGAATGATTTGAAAGTAATATTCAATAACTTTTAGTGAAAAAAATACTTAATATAAACACAAAAAAATATAAAATTATTTTTAACGTAACATAAAATATATAAATTTCAAAACAGGATATATATTTTCAAAGATTTAAAAAGTAATACTATTTTTATATGTGTATTTGCATTGAAAATTTCTGATTTTGTTAATGCATTAATAAAATGTATTGCCATCAATGAAATCAATAGGACCCGCATTGCGTAACAATAAACAATGTATGTAACACCGCATGCTTTACACAAAGTTGCGAATAACGAGCAAATGCAGTGGTCTGTGAAGTCGACAGATTCGAACAATAAGGGTTAATTGCGAATAGGATCGATTGGCGTCCGAGAATCGTTGAAACGAAAGCGGCTTAAATTTTGGCTGGAAATTCGTTGAGAAGGAGAAGGGGGCAAGTTTGCCTCTTAGGAACGGATTTCCGGGAATTTTGTCACGCTACACAAATTGCGTGGGTGTCTTCCAGCAACCGGGGCAACAGGGCAGAGCGCTCTTCAGCGTATCCTTGAAGGCATCGCGGAAGTCGCGGTTGAAGTACGCGTAGATGAGCGGGTTCAGAGCACTGTTGAAGTAACCTATCCAGAAGAGCAACGACACCACTGTGTCCGGGCAGTGGCAGGTGTCGCCGCACAACGATGTCGTCAGATACCTGAAAGAACGACAGGAAAAAAAACCGCTTTTTACCGTTTCCTTGGAAAGCTAATGGAGGAGCTTAGTCGCAAACTGTTTTAAATCTATTCTTAAAGAAGAGATATTATGTTTTATAAAGATATAAGGAAAGAAATTATTTCCATTCAAGCTGCCTTAAATCCATATCCATTTAACCTGTATTTAAAATTCTACTTCTTTAATTGTATATAAAATTATATTTTTTAAATTAAGAGACATGATTCACTATACATTTTGCGAAATATAACGATTTATGCATTATTTTAAAAACTATTTAAATTGTAGAGAGCTCTGTTGCAAATTTTATGAGATTTAAAAAGCTAATAGATCAACACGCGCAAACAAAAATAGGAATAAGCTCAAAAATATAAGAGTTATGGATACAAAAATGTATTGGTTTCTTTGTGTACTTAAATGTGCAATAAATAAAGCAATAACGTAAATTATCGTAAAGAATCACGGTTTTTCACGGAGAAAAAAGCGTTTTAAGAGCGCCGTAGTAACATTAATAATCGAGACCGAGATTCGGAGAGTAAAAGGCTATAAATCTAAAGGGAAAAAGGTTAAGAGAGAATAGATCGGCCGAGTGTAGTGCCGCCATAATTTTCGATAAGGTTTGTCTGAGAGCGCGGTGTTAGCCGCGTATCTTGAAAGTGCGAATACAAATATGGCACCTAGTTATTTATGGGATTTGCTTTGCACCAAGACTGCGCCAGAAGAGTGAGTTTTCTTTACCTGCACTTTTCGTATTTTTCTACGGCGTCTACGCCGAGTATTTTACATATAGATGCATCTGTTGCATTATGCGGAGATTTTAAATCAATGTTTCGATATTGCCTTTCCTACGCGGGAATAAGATTCGTATCTCGAAATCTGCATGCGCAGCATCTATACTTGTCACTTTTTTGCGATTTCAAAGTATTACGTTTGAAACAGCAGCATAAATTCTGGAAATTTTGTTTAATGATAGCTAGAATATTTACTTAACAACGGTAGAAATTATTCCAGGATTTCTCAGAATTATTATGCAATTTGCCCGTTTCGTCTGAAAAATGTAATACTTGTTTTAAAATGGTTATTCCAAATATTATTCATTAATTTTGAAATGTTATTTTATTCTAATTTTTATTAAAGAAAAGTTTGCTTTAATAATGCTTGTACTAATACGATTGTTTTGAATACTCTGAAAATTAGATTGAGTAATATTATGAGAACAATGATTTTAAAATTATGTTGTAGCAAATATTTTGTGCTATTATTTAAGCTAAAAATTCATTTCATACTTATCTATATGTTTATCAATGAGAGATTACACAATTACTATACATACTTGAGCTATTTTGTGATAAATCGAAATAATAGTAAGATGTAAAAGCAACCACGTTTTCGACCACACTGCCGTATCATTACTAATGCACGGAGTATCGATTGTGATGATATGGAACAATATTAAAACGATCGATGTGGATTTGTGGTCGCGACTATCTCTGTTCGACGAAAATTACCAAGCCACTGATATCAATCAAACAAATTGAACTCTGAAAACGCAGTTGATCGCTTATACAACTATATATCCGCTTTTACGGATTTATCCTACCGTATTGTTTTCCGATATGTCTCTATTGTCGTTATTTCTATTCGTCGTTCTCGAAACATATATATTGTGTAAAGAAAGAATATCAAATTTTCTACGAAATGAAAGATACTGACAGGCCAGCATCAAAACGAAATTTGATGCAAAATAAAAGTAACTGTCGTAATACTATACATTCACTTGTGTATATCAATATTGATTTATACAGAAGTAATCTTATCGCGCTTACTTCAAAAATTACATTTACTTATATCTTTGTTTTCAGATAAAAATATTTCACATTTTCGTTTTTAATTGGAATTTTATTTTTATTTTTAATTTTATCTTTACTTATGTATTATATTTGTATTTTTGTACGGAAATAATTATTATCTCTCTTAAGAAGATTATATTTATGAAGAAATAATAGATAAATATCTCGACGGATCTAATAAAACATAGAAATGTTTCGAAATTTAATACAAAAATTATGAATATTAAAAAGAGGACTAAAGTAGCTTGCTGAAATTTGAACTGGTTAAAAAATCTAAAATTATTCATGTGGTAAGAGAGCCGATGGCCCAAAAGTTGGTAATGCGAAATGGTCGAACTACGAGACTAACGCGAGCTTTTAGGTCAGTAGAGTGATGCGCTTTGTGCATTTGCATGAATAAAAACCGAGTTACAAAATCGAGGCATTCCGTTGCTCGTCCATATATCTACATTGCTCTGCTCTATTTCCATAGAGAGCACATTTTCCGGCGAGACTTTATCGCACGTATTTATCCATCGGCAGTTCGCTTAACGAAATTTTCGTGGCGAATTCTGCCGTCACGTAGATTTATATTACATTTTACGTAAATGAAGCTGATGCAGTGTATAAGTGAAACAATAGCACGATTTAAAGTGAGTTTTGATCATTTTACATGGATACAGTTAATTCTTTGTTGCACATTGAAACACGATTTTCAAATCATTTAATTATTCACGAAAATATTTTCACACTGATACAATTTTATTATCATCTCTCTGTCTTGTAATGCTCGGAAAGCCGCCTGTACATAATGAATGTTTCAGAGACTTTTAAAATTAAGATGTTTTAACTTTTTCTGTTTAGAATTAACATTTTTTTATTTTCTTATTTTTCAGATACCTGGTGCTGAAAGTACTCTTCACTCCGATGCAAATTCATTCCCTCACGAATAAAGTAATCTCATCTAAGCGGTAAGTGACCACACAGTGTATAATCACTGCATGCCTAAAAAGGTTTTATGCGACTGAAAGTCAAAGAAAACTCGATCTCAAAAGATCCATTAATCCGTCTGTATCTTTACATTTTACACTCCTCGTTTTAAATTTTAGAGCCGAAACTGTCTCCGTGAAAAGAGACCTTTTTTCGTTTCCTTCGAGTAAAAGAGAAATCTTCATATTCTGCCGCGGTCGCGATGCTTAGTCAAGCAAATAGTCAAACTGCGAGCAAGCTTGCGGATAGAGTAGGGTAAGCCCTCGGCAAACTCCATAGAGATGCACTTTCCCAGCTCGCATTAATAAAACATGGAAACAGGACGGGACTATCTCTCCCTCTGCGAACTTTAGACACATTTGGCATCAGCAAAGCTCTTTCTCTGCGTATCCCTCTTGACGACTTGATAAATTCCAAAGAATTCTCCAAAGTAAAGTCACTAAGTAGGTTTCTCCACCGAAACTATTTCTGCTCGAGATCTTTTGCTTCGCTATTTTCTCTTTTTTTAGTCCATTGACATTCAAGGAGAACGTAGAATATCTCTTGTCGGATATCACGAAAGATTTGTTATTTGTTCAGAATATTGGAAGTATTAAAGTATATTAGATAGATTTGGTGCACAATAAATGTTTGCACGACCGACACTTACCAGAGAAAGAACGGCAGCCAACAAAGAAGGAATGCCCCCATAATTATACCGAGTGTCCTCGCGGCTTTGTGCTCGGCCCGCCAACTTTTCGTTTGTTGTCGTATCGAAGTGCCTGAAACATAGAAACGCCTTAATTATTTCGTGATGTTAATTATCAAAGTTGAACACCGGTGTTCTATTGTTTGAGTGGAATTTTCCATAGGCTTTAATTTATTTCATACAAAACGGAACTTAATCGATCGACTATGCTGGGTTGGGTGGACGTGGAAATGTCACAGCCTCTTGCGTAACGATTATTGCATTTATAATTGTTCATTAAATATTCGTGCCATGTAACGTACATTTATCGGCGAAGTGCGAGGCGCAAGTATTAAAGCATTACGTTTCCGCGCGCACGTCGAATTACGCACATTGGTAAATTTTAATTCAAATCCGTTACGGGAGTACCAATGTTTGCATAATTACCGCTGCAAAATAAGCTGCATCCATCAACAAGCCGCTGCAATAACAATAACAATATGCCATCATATTATAATAGTTCTCGCACAGCGTAATATTCAAATTTACATCCTTTTATGGCAGTTCATCGCAATGTTAATGAGGCAGATTCAATTGCACATGCAGCCTTCAACCCTTAATTAGTCGCGTGGAATTGTAATGACCCTACAGGTTGTGCAATTTGGCGAAGTCAAATTGGTTCTTGATTACTGGAAATTAAACCGAAGTTCATAGGATTATTAATTCTCATAATTAATTATTATTTTTTTGTAATCAATTTTTTTCTTCTTTTCTTGTTCTTTTTATCTTCCAATTTGGTGATTGATGTTTATAACGGAAAGGTTGTAAAAAAGTAATTTGATGGAGTTGCATTTCACAGTGATTTAATCTTTGCAGCGATTTAACTTTGCTTTTTAGTATACTTTAATTTTTAAATTTTGCTCGTTAATATAGAATAAAAATGACAAATATGAATATTATAAATTTAAACGGAACAGTAGGAATATTTATCTAAAGAATTATATTTATTCATTAAAGGTAATATTGATATTATATCGATTATAATTTATTAAATGTATTCTAATGTTAAAAATTTAGTAAATTAATTTTTTTTATTTTGTTTGAAGTACATTCTAAATATCATAAAAATTTATTTGTTGATTTAAAATTAAAAAAAAAAAAAATAGATTTGTTGGAGGGATAAAATAACTTCAAAATTAGTGCGTAACTATTTTATATTGTAATTTAATCTATACAAATTATTTTGTTAAAATTTTTGTAAAAATTTATTATTGACAATAAAAAAATATAATTAAATATAAAATTCTGATAAAAATTTACATTATAAAAAGTTAATCGGAAAGTTCAACAATGAGATTTAATGAGAAACTACTCTTTTGTACTATCACAGTTTTTTTCCCCGAGTTTCTCCCGAGTTTCCCGACGAAAGCCATTAAAAGCCGGCCTACCCAATTTCTGATATAATTACTTTGCACAACGTGCCATCGAGGCGTTGTTATCGTAGCGCAACTGCAATAATCGCGCTACGAGCGAACATCATCATACACGGAAATTTTTCCAGGAGCTATTAACACGCATTCGCTATTTAATCTCATCAGTTAATATTCCGTAAGAAAGTTTCCCCTGATATGAAAAAAAATTCTCCCTAGAAGTAGATAATTAATTTCATGTGGAAAAAGTGGCTGTACTTTAACATGGATATATTTATTATTTAAATTGAAAATTTAACACAAGTTACAGATTTACTTACGTTTAATATAAATTATTTAGTTTTATCGAATTAGTTTTATTGAATATGATAAAACAATTTGTGATAGATACATTTCTAAATTGAATTATTTGGCAGTTCGAACTCTTGATTATTGAGCAATAGCAGCTTAAAAGTTGCATTAGTCTATATAGCGATCCTGCATCTCCAAGCATCCTTGCGGATGTGCAGTGGGACCCCGAAAACCGCAGACAGCGCAAATTCACTCGTGCGGGACTATATCCGGTGGGTGGTTGTTGTTTAGATAATACGGCGAATGGAAGGGAGAGTGTCCGTCCCGACAGAAGGCTGAAGGGTTCGCGTGCTCGGGTGCAGTGAGGCAGATTTAGGTTGGTTGGTCGATGCTCAGCGCTTTCGTGCAATCAATGCACTCGTCTATCAAGATATAAGAAGCGCCTGTGCATATAGGGTGATCCTAGTGAGAAGTGCTTTACTAATGAATTTTCGAGTCAAGTTTTAGTGAATGTCATATCAATTTATGAGAGATTGAATATAAGCTTAAGTAAAAAAGAAATATCTTTAATTATTAATTATTTTCATGTGTAAATTATAGTAACACGTTATGATGACAATAAATTTAATTTATACCTATGCAGTATTGTATTTATTCAAGAGATTAATATATTTATTATATTTATTTTAAGATTAATACCTTTACGTAGAAGAAGGAGAAAGAAAGGAATAAAAGAGAAAGAAAATTTAAATTTCTCTACAATATGTTTACAAAATTTATTTAAACTTAATATTTTACTTTACCATTTTTATATTTTTTATATTTTATGATTTTTTATACAGTGACAACATTTCTTTGAACTGCATAGGAAATTATTTCTCTTAGGCACCGGAACTAATTTTAAAAACTTTACAAATTTGATTTTCTGTGATATGATATAAGTTTTCTTATACTTAAAATCTAGGTCCAAGCACGGCAAAGTATTCGCATACGGATCACCGTGTACATGTGCACGCGCGAGCGCAGAACAATCGGGAATGCAAGACAATCGCGACCCTATTTCGCGTCGCGTAATCTCGCAGGCTAAAGCTGCGTCTTAATACGACGCTCGTTACCGGGTGTCTCCGGGGAAATACCTTTAACGCTTTTGCGGCCCAATTTTCTTTTCTATCTTTTATAAAGCGAACGAGTTACGACAAGTAGATATATCAGCATCACATAGTGATCGTTACAATCTTTTCACGTACATATTCGCACACATTTAAAAAGGAATTTATTTCTGCAGATAAAAATAGAACTTTCTGTGTGGAATTTATATATATTATTCGGAAATAGTATTTTTCTTTTGTACATTCTGCTGGATAACATAGCTTGCAGTAGCTACCACAATTTTCCATTTATTGTTAATTTGTATATGTGTAATTAAACCGCTACATGGCTATGATAATATTTTCTTCAATCAAAAATCACAATACACAGTACTATAATACTATATAACTGGAATTTTTAGAACTACAAAATCGGATATAATAAAAAAATAATAATATAATGAAAATTTCAATTATAAAAACGTAATTAATTATAAAAATGCTTAAAAAGTCTTTATTAGACTCAAGATTTAATGCACTTTAATTCTACGCTCTATATCATATATATTGTACAAACTGCAGTTTCGCCACAAATAACACAGTAAGTAGATAATATGACTTAATTAAACCGTAATCAATAGCGGATCACGGAATCGAGCCACTTGAATTACACATCAGCTCTTTGGCACAATATCCCGCTTAAATGTTGTATTTTTTGCGCAAATGCTGGCCGTTGCTCGAGCCGAGGTATAATCGCGATGATGAACTTGCGTAATTATGATGACAGAATTCCACCGCGGAAATTATCCGGCGAAATTTCGCCGGCGGCGAAGAGATGCTCTTGTTGAACTCGAGGAAACTCACCATCCGTTCCACTTTCATCCACAATACGCGGCTTTTGTCGGCTTTGAGCATGACATCAGTTTCATTTCTCACTAACTAACAGACGGACGGACGAACGACCGGATGTTAAACGTACAACAAGATGTCTCAAAACTGGCAAATGTACCTTTCTCATTTTTTGATACGACGAAAATGTTGAATATTATAAGAATTTTTTGGATATTTGTTCCAAAATGCGAAAATATTTTTATCATACACAAGAAAGATATATGAAAAGTAATGTTCATATAATTGCACAATTTTTATTAACATTATATGTAATTTATACAAAAATTGGATATAAATTTACACGTAAAATTCATAGAAATGAGAAAGATACAATACTATTGCAAAAATTGAAAAAATTTGAGAAATATTTTTTGCTGACGAAAGGTCTCTAAATTAGCCGAAGGAATTGGTTTTAGGTTATCCTATATTCGAGACATGTAACTACTTGGTATTACTGTCAAGTTTCCCATTGTACAGGCCGGGTGGGCAAATAGCATCGCGCAAATTTGACACCATCATCCCTGTCGTGTCGAGGTTGAATCTTCGAGAGGCTTTGTTCGAATATCGAATATAATAATGATAGACGAAGCACTCTCGAAGTATAGAAACGTTAACATTTTGTGAATAATGAAATATGAAGTAAAAGAATATAATAATTGTTTAATGAGAATAATTAATAATTGCAGAGATAAGTAGATGAAAAATAAATTCCGAAACATAATATCCAATTTTAAAATTTTATTTCATGATTATAAATATGATTATGAAATATTTTAAATGTCCAAATTATAGAAATTTGCGTTGTAAAAAATATATTTTAATATTATAAAAAATACTACTTGATTACTTTTAATTTCGTTTTATTTGCTTGTACATAACTCCGTCGGCCACAATAAATCGTTTCTTCTTCTCGGTCGCGTCTATTATTGGGAACGTGAGTCGCGAGAAGATGAGATTGATACAGATGTTGCATATTGAGTTGCCGCCACAAAGACGCACAAAATGCGATATTGATCTCAATGGAATGTTTCGGAATCGGAATTGTGCGCATTATTCTCTCTTGCAATAACCAGACAGCATTGTGTTCTAGAAAAAGATCTATTCTGCGAAAGGGAAAAACATAATGTGGTGTGTAATAGAAGGCTAAATTCGGTAGAAAGCTGAACATCGCGAACTAAATTTAGTTTCGAAAGTTACCGATTTTTAGTAACTACATAAAATGTCCCGATAATGTAATTTTACTGTATTTATATTATATTCTGAATTACATATGAGAATGAGTCAGAATGTTTCTATAATATTGTTATTAAGAAATATTTATATTAAAAATTTTAATAATAGCTAATTTTTGAACAAAATCTCTATATTTTTGAAACTTTTTTTCAGCGATCTAG